CGTGCTCTTCATAATCCTGCCCTTCTTAAGACTTAAACCCCTTTAGTGTCTGAGCCACACGCCCGCGAAAATGGGAAAGTCTATCGCGAAGAGTATTTCAAAGTCGCCTTGGCATTATTGTGATACTTGAGACGTCATAATAACGTCATTGAAATCCTACCATTCCACAAGCTATGCGGCGATTAAGGCCAAAAATTATAATGGTCGAAGGGTTCATATCTGGCGTTTGTGAGCGCGATTTCCAGGTATAACAGCCATTAGGTGGCTCTCAATCAATGTTGTGCAAAGTACGATAACATAATCAAAACATGACTCAGCGAAGAGCATATTTATTGAACAGAGTTGTGCTGTCTGGAGCTGTCTTTTCCACTTAGAAAAGTATAGCAACAGCTAAAAGTGAGCTCATTTCATCATATCCGATGCTTGCTTTGTTATCTTCACTTGCGAAATACTCCCTTTAAAGATCAGAAAGGTCATCGAAACAAGATTAAGATCCATCATTTTAAACTGTTTCTACTGGTAGAAATAGTTTTAAAAATGTAAAAATCCATGTCGACGTACCACACTTAGCGGCATGTACTGGTGTATCTACTGGTCTTCCGTTGCTATTTAGAACTCTTCAAGTCTTCTTACCGCGTTTGATTAGGTGTACGTCCCGCAATCAGAATTAGCCATTGAAGAGTGGAGACAGAAGAGACGTGAAATAAGGGGTGCAATATGGAGGAATGATTTCCTCCGGATGTTAGTCCTCCATCTAATATTGAAATTATGGGAATCAGCTGTGGCAAGTCCAAACGTCCGACAGCTCTGCTGTCGGCCGTCTGTCTGCCACCCACTGTCTGTCGTGTGTGCTCCGTCTGTCTGCCGTCTGCTGCCGCTGTCTGTGGGCTGTCGTCTGGCGTGTGACGCGGCGCCCCGCCGGCCCCGGCAGGCTATGACCCGGTGCCGGTGGCCTCGATGGAGGGCCTGGAGCTGGGCTCGGCCGGCCCCGGCTCCAACTACGGCCCGCTCGACCCGGTGGGCGTGCCGGCGCCCGGCTCCGGGCCGCCCGACATGGCCTTCGACAACATGGTCGACCTGCCGCCGCAGCCGCCGCGCGACAACAACCAGGTGGGTGGGGGCGGCCGCCGGGCCGGACGCGGCACGGCCGGCTCTGTAGGGAAGCCGGGCTGACGGTGGCGGGGTGCGTTAGAAGCCCCGGTGATGACAGGTACGGTCACAAAGACGACAGCCGGTTACGACATTGGCCGACAACAGCCTGCGGTCAGGGGTGGCCGGCTGTCACGTGGACGACTGTCGCACAGGGCGCCCAGTGCTCTCGGACGTCAGGTATGTACCACGGGGGTGCACAGACAGAGGAACATCCGCACGGTTGCGCTTCGTCCGACACGGATATGGCCGGCTGTGACACGGGCATAGGGACAGCACCGACCCATACGTGCTGTTTAGATCAGTGCTGTCCCAGCAAATCGTCACTGGTGCAGCAAATTGGTGCGACAAAGTTTCTTGGGACAGTGACCAGGTGCGACACTTGACTTAGATCGTAAAGCAGCATGACAGTGTACCAGTGTATATAATGGCTGGTCGGGATCGAGCGATGTTCGCGCTTTCTGCAGCGGGGACAACCGGGCCCGGGGTCAGCCACGTATTACCTGGGGCGGTGTCGCCCACCCGCACGCGGTGACCGGACCGCCAGATGCCTGTTCATGATGTGCTGCCGCGAGTGTAGCCGCGCGTCGGCGGAGGGTGGACGTGCCGCGCGACGGTGCCGTGACCGCGCGCGCCGGCCGTGCCGCAGGTGGCCGCCTGGTACGACACGGACCTGTAGCGGGCGGCGCCGCGGCCGCTCCGCCCACTCCGGGACGGCCGGCCGCTCCCAGCAACACCTGGCGTCCCGCACGCCATCTGGCGGACGTCCGCACCGTCTGCCCCGTGACGACGCCGCGAGACGCCGGCAGTACCAGATTCCACTCGATTTCCGCGTTGATTTGGTGGTTGGAGGCGTGTAACCCGGTCCGGATGTGGGACGAAGTGTGTGGGCACGGGGAGATTATGCACTGTGCAGCTATTTTTAATGTGGCGTGGAGGGCGGGCAGCCCGGCCGTAGATCATGGAAGCTATCACTAGCTGGCTAGATGCGGCGTAATCATTGTATTCCAATACATCTTTTCTATCGCTTACCAGTCGTTTTTTTTTTGTACGGACGTCGGCTTAGAGTGTGGCCGGCCGCAACACCGTCTTGATTGGTGGGGGTGTCGGCAGCGAGAATAACTCCAGAGGAACAGGCCGGTCGGTAAAGCCGGAGAGGGCGCGACAGGATACACCGTCCCTCACACCCACAGGCTGCCCACCGGGCCGGCACGTGCCACAGCGCTACGTGTGGCAAGCGTTTGACTGGTGGGCATGTTCTGACCTAACTATGCCAAAGGTTGACCGCGTTACTCGATTCGTCGCTCCATTTCCCGGCGCCTGGGCCGAGAGTCGGGACCCGTATTGGCACTTCGCATACTCGCTCTTCTTTTCCACGTCGACTTCAGCAGTATTTATATCAGTTAAAAGTGTAGCCATGCGAATCTAAGCGCGTGGTGACAATCAACTGGAAGTTCTGAGAAGCACGCAATAGAGTTTTGGAGGCCGCGAAATGGCCACGCAGCAGACACCCCTTGACATCTAATACCATCAACAAAACTCACAGCCTGGCCAGCGGCGGGCGGGCGTGTGAACTCTCCCAAGTGATCCAATTAATGAATTGTCCAAACATGTGCCGACCAACATCTGGTCAGCTGACATACCTCGTAAAATGTATACCGGCGCGCATGTTCTAATGATGCAGGTAAGTGCAAAAACAGTACTGTCCGAGTCAAATGTCGCGCTGACATTCCAGCACATTGTAAAAGAAAATAGGAACTTGTTAGATGTAATGAGTGAAGGGGTTCATTACTATCTCGCTGGTAAGGTGTACAAGATCTTTTCGGAACATCCTTTTAATTCATTTAAAAGTTAACTTCTCTCACATTGAGCATTATGAGCATCAAACGGACGATACAATTTGTCAAAGTCAGTCGTCGCTGCTGTCCTCCAATAAAATGACAAATGGCCTCTGTATGTGCCCACCACGTTTCAGACAACGCCGAAAGTACCCCCCCCCCCAGGACAGGTCAAACACGGCCGTTCGTAGGATGCGATGCAGCCAGCCAGCCACCTACCACCTGGCTAGGGGGACACCCGCATCCGGGACAACCTAAGTCGGCCCGGGACGAGCGCTGTCGCGAGTGACTGGGTATGCACCGCCGGTGTCACAACGCCTCGTCCGGAGGCCAAGCTCCGACTCAGTTCCGGAGGTCAAGGTTGACTCAGAGAAGGAGCCAGAGACTATGACCTCCGACCTTTGAGACGGAGGCGAACATGCTCTGCGGGCGTTTCAGGCTCGCCGCTCCGCTACGCTTGTCGACGGAGCGGCGAGCATAGCGGTCTCGTCGAGCTGTGCTTGACGCAGTCTCAGCGGGACCCGCTGCGGGCGCCGTGGCCGGCCCGGAGACGCCAGCCGCCTCATGTACGTGTATTCGCCTCCATCCGGGTGAACACTCCACCCATACAAAAATACGAGTGCGATACCCCAGGTCGCGATACGCCGCAGGCGGACGCAGAGCCAGGCCGCCCCGAGCGGCCCTCGACCTCGGCTCGCCGCGGTGCCAGGGTAATGTCACGCAGGTCAGGTATCACCGACGCAGATATGCCGTTCATTGGCGGCCAATGCCCCGTGGTGGCCGCCACAGACAGCCGATGGGGGACGAGGGGCACAGACCCACACCCACGGGCTGCAGCGCCGCGGTCGGTCGCTACGGTTGACGGCATTGGCCACAGTAAGACGGGAGAAGGGGAAGGGGCGGGTGTATCCCACTCGCGGCTCCGCCACCAATAGCGTAAGCCCCACACCGTCCGCAACAATAACCAGTCACATTGCCCGAAACCTATCTCGTTAGCGGTGCAGCGCTTTGTACGGATACCGCGGACGTCCGTGGTGATGACCGAAAACTGTCGACTTTAAGTCAGACTTTGTACATCAAAAAAGGACCGCAACCACGACACCATGGAGTCAATTTACAAAGGCCTGGCTAGTTTTGTGAAATATGCGGCCTGCTACACAGGAGCAGCCATGTTGACAGAGAAAACGAGTGCTATCAACCGTGACTCGTGGTCGAAAGATTCGATACCAGCGTCTGCAATTTCTTGCAATCAATGAAACAAAACCGAACCCTTGTGCGGCACGGAGGGGAAGGGTTTGACGCTGATTTAGTCAGCTTGTAATTCTCTGAACGCTATCCCTGTTGCCACGATTTCATTACGAGACCCGGGCTGACAGCCTTCAAGCATTTTCCTGGCGTGCACGTCTAGATTCCAAACACAGCGCATCGACAGGGACGTAAAGCACGGATATCCTCGCTAGGCACGGGCTAAACTAAGAACATGTCATGATTTGGGGCGCAAAGCGGAACAGGAACTGACGCGTTTCCACGTACGTAATTATAACGTAGATTCATGTCTATTTAGAACACCGAGATTTAAGGGAATGCTCCCTCGAAACATCGCACAAAGTGCCCATCCGCAACCACTATGGCAGTGCCCGAACACAGCTCTCGACCCCTAAGGCAACCTCCTCGGTAAAATAGTCTGTTCTCGTCGGGCGCGTCTCTGCCCACGGCTAGTCTAGATACAGCGGGACCGCGGTAGGGCACGGCCGCTCGGTCGGCGCGGTCAGGTCATCACAGACACTCACAAGGCGACTCCGTGTCTGGCGATCTCGGGCCAACCGTCGGTGCTGGCTACGCATCTGCATCGCGGCCGGCTGCCACCTAGAAGCCCGCGTCTCACACTCATCTAAACGTAGCCCAAAGCAGCGACCACAGTTGATTCAACGCTACCAATAAAATAACATAACACGATAATGGTCATTAAAGCGTGCGCAAAACTCGCGAGATAAATTAATGAACGCAGAAAATACGCCGGCGCATGAACAGCGGATTGGCCGCAGTGGTCCCCGGCGGCGCGGTTCTGGCAGTGGTGAGTGCGCTCCCCTGGAACTCTGGGGAGCGCCGCTGGTGCGTGACGTCTGTCGGTCGCTGGGTGGGCGCAGGGCGGCGGCGGCTCGTGCCGGCCACACGGCGACGCCGGCTGCTGCCGTCTCCGGTCCTGCCACACCACCCGGCATCCGGGCAGAGCCCCGGGCTGGCCAGCCGGCCCCCAGGCTGGCTGTGAGGTGGCGCGGCCAGGCGCGGGCCAGGGTCGAGGCGGGCCCGGCTACACCGAGTCCGGGTCTGGCTCACTGAGATCCACCAGCTCGCGGGAGGGCGGGGTCGGTCGGTCCCTGTCGGCCGTCCAACGGTCACTTCACGCGGACGCCACGACGGCACGACCGCCGCCACAAAAGTCACGCGCTCACGCATCTCCAGCGCGCAGCAGCCGTCTAACACGTGACATCCGGCGACAGATCACGAAATCCTTCTGCATGGCGTGAAACCATGATGCAACACATGCGACGTAACGTGACGACATGACGTAACGACGCGAGCAATGGTCGAGTGGGACCTGAGCAGGAGGGATGCCGTAGTATTTGCCTTTGCAGCTACCGCGACTGATCAGTGATTCCTGTCCGGGCTGCTGATGCTTCCGTGCTTAACACGTTGTCATGCTCGGACCAAGTTCGAACGGTGCCCGCTGCCCGGCAGCCGCCACCCACCTGGGAGCGGCGCCGGTGGGCGGGGTGCGGTGCTGCCGATGCGGGCAGAGGGAGCAGGAAGACCCGTGGACACGAGCCGGGCCCGGCCGGCAGCCGGCCGCTGGCCACACGCCAGGTCAGAGGTCTCACGCGACACCCCGGCCCGGCCCGGGCCGGCACACAGCACGGAACAGCACAGCACAGCACAGCACAGTACGGCAGGCACGGGACAGCACAGCACAACACAGCAGGGCACAGCACGGCACAGAACGGCACAACACAGCAAGGCGCGGCACGACCCCAAAAGTGAGCAGCGGCGGCCCATGTGCCCTAGTAGCCGTGGGTGAAGCTGGTCGCGTGCTGGCTGACACACGACACGCGCGCATGACGTGACCTGGCGGCCGGCCCCTCTGCCGGTTAGAGCCGTGATGGGTGTCAGTAATGCCCTACCGATGTGAATTGCCGTGAGTTGTCCCGGGCATCCCAGTCGTACACATGGACACTGATTAGCTTTCGAAGCGTGCATTACTAAAACGTGAGCAACGCCAACAAAGACGGGCATGCACGAAGCTGTTGTCAACTTACCGCTTCCTATATTTCATTATAATCGCAACAATTACGCAGTTGCCGAGTATCAAGACGACCATAATAATGCTTGGAAGAATGGTATCTGAAACGACCAGAATACCAATGTAAAAGACATCGCTTATCGACCTGGTTGGTTCAGGGAAGCCCTGCTAAGAGCGTGGCTAAAACATTGAAAGCAGAGAGGATACACGATCGTCCTCGCAGGAAGTGAATGTGAATAGAACAGCGTATTTCTATCCACCAATACCAGCATGTATGGACCGCTCGTGTAAGTACTAGTGAAGCGGTAGCCGGTACGCCCCTGAGCTACGCGGCGGGCGGCGGACGGCCTGTGCCTCCACGGAACACGGGTGGCGTCTCGCATCGAAGTCAGGCGTGTGACTGCATGGGATGGCTGGACTCTGGCGGCCGGTTACGGGTGCGAGCCTGGTGGGGAGGGGTGAGTGAGAGGCAGCCGCCGCCAGGCTGGTGGCCGGCCTGACCACGCAGTGACCGGTCACTGGACCACAGGCGCGGACCGTCCGCTGGAGCCGGCCGGGCCGGGGCCCTCCCACCGGTGGCCGGCCGGGACTGGCCCCTTCCACCGGTGACCGGCCGGGACTGGGGCCCTCCCGCCGGCGGCTGGCCGAGACTGGGGCCCTTCCACCGGTGCCCGGCCGGGACTGGGGCCCTTCCACCGGTGGCCGGCCGGGACTGGGACCCTCCCGCCGGCGGCTGGCCGAGTATCTCACCGACGAACATGCTGCCGCCGCGCTGCAGTACCGGTCGAACCTCCGGCCGCGGCGTCACCAGATTCTGCTCCAGAATGCGACGCACCGTGGCGTTCGCAAACTCCATCAATATCCGGACATCTGCCGTCACAACAGTGACATCAATACCTAGACATCTGCTGCCCGAGCGGCACAGCCGGTGTCCGGACATGGGCTATCCGCATCGTCAGCTGACGCTGCAGAGCTATCGGCATCGTCCGAGGCACCGTCGATTTACATAAACTTGCAGCCTGCGGACCATCAATGCGGGGGAAAATGGGGTAGGAGAGGAGGTCTGCTATGAAAAGAACAGGCTCGTTAATATCCTGATATCCGACAAAAATGAAGAAATGCCAGAAGCATCTCCTACCAGACGAAGAATGCTGTCAATGTAAAGACATCGGTGACAACACGAACAAACTTCAAAAACTTAAATATTTTCTCTGCGTGCAAGAATGTCAGTCTGTCGCGGCACACATTGCTAATGGTCAGAGTCCACGGCAAATGCATGCGCATAACTCTGTTCTGTTTGCCTACATATACATGGACAGATATGCACCGTCCGACGAGCGATCAGCATCCCCAAACTCAACGGAGTCAGCAGTATCGATCGCCGGCGTCTGGCGCACCTCCCGCCGTGCGCGTGGACACCGTAGGCGCGTGGACGCCGAGCGCGTGGACGCCGTGCGTGTGGAACCGCCGTGCGTGGGACGCCGGCGGACGTGGCTCACCAAATGCACTGGCGCGGCAGCGAGTCGTTCCAGCCGTGTCCGTCCACGCAGCGCAGCAGCCGGTCCTCTCTTCAGCGTGTCGGCGAACACGAAGTTGACACAGCACGAGAAGTGCGCGTGGGTGGCGTTGCGGTGTACACTGTAGCCGTCCCGCGGCGGAGACGGCGACGGACAGCCCACGGCTGGTGGCGGGTCAGACGGGTGTCAGCGGCGCACGCGGGGGGGGGGGGGGGCGGCCCGGTCAGAGCGGGGGTTTGGCAACTCTCTCAGCCATGTTGGGACGTCGCAATGATGGAAGCACACAGGGTGGCTCTCATCTACGCCCGTCATTACGATTGGAGACAGGTATTGCGACGTGGGCTCGAGATTGCCGCGTAGTTCCGCACGCGTCATAGGCAACGGACACAGAAATTGCGCACAGACAAGGCCCAAGGGCAGACAATCGACGATGAAAAAGACTTCACTACAGCAAAACAATTGTATGACGAACCCGATTGGTAAGCATGATGAACCCGAGCGGCGAGCATGACGAACGGAAGCTCCGGGCAGTCAGACCCCAATAGACCACAGTGCCCGCTCGCGGCCGGGCGCCGCGCGGCCGCGAGCGTCCCGCGGGCGGCGCCGCCCCGCCTTGTCTCACCGGTGTACTGGACGAGCGTGCCTCTGTGCGGGTACAGCGGCTGACCCTCGCCCCACAGCGTGACGGTGACCTCGGGGCCGCGCGAGGTCAGCACCAGCGGCCGCTCCAGGTCACCGCAGTCGAGCGACAGCAGGCGGCGGCCCTCGGCCACGCGCAGGAAGTCGGTGCAAGCCGGCGGTTGCCCTGCGCACCCCTGCCGGCCGCCGGCGCCCGTCAGCACGGCGGCGGCGCGCCCGGCCGGCCCGTCACGTGTCACCCGGTCGATAGGGCTGGAAGCGCGGCGCCAGGGCGGGGGGCACTGGACGTGAAACGGCGCCCGCCGCGGCCGCAGCGGCGCCGTCGGAGCCTTGCAGCAGGCGTCCAACGACTTACTAAAGGACACGAGCCCTACTAAATTATACCACAAACACAGGCGCGGGCTCAACCAGTCACAGATTCCAGTTCGCCTATGATTTTGCCTTGATACCCCGTTTGTAGGAATCTCAACTCCCCTTGACGTCACAGAGGGACCCCAGCTCACCCATGACTTTCCAATGGGACACCAGCTGACCTCTGACGTCACAGTGGGGCCTCAGCTCACCACTGACGTCACAATGGGACTCCAGTTCACCCATGACGTCCCAATGGAACGCAGGCCGCCCTCTGACGTCACAGTGGGGCCCCAACTCATCTATGACGTTCCGATGGGAGCCGACAGCCAACCTCTGACGTCACAATGGGACCCCAGCTCACCTCTGACGCTCAGGTCGTGTACCCTGATCCGCAGCCGCTGTCCCTCGTCCACCCGGATGTGCCACGAGCAGTTGAGGTCGCCCGGGTAGTAGTGCGGGTAGCCCGGGTTGCTGAGGTAGCCGTGCTGTGACGTCAGTACCTCGGAGCAGTACCGGGTCACCTCTTCACCTTCCCGGAGACGGCTGTCAGTGGTCGGGCCGGGCAGGCGCCAAGCGACTCACCCGATCACTGCACTGGCCAGACCGGCTTTACTGATTGACCACATCAACGACACACAGCCTGTCTGAGTGGCTAGCTGGGTGAGCGCTTGCGGGGCGCAGATCTAAGCTCCTCTAGCGACGTGCTCCGGTGAAACAACCCAGGAAGCCAGCCGCAGGAGCCGCTCCAAGCCGCACGGGGCCTGTGCCCGAGAGCCGCCACACCGCTGTCGTCACCCACCTACTAACAGCCACACAAAGCCGCACAATGGCCACAGGTGCGCCGCCAGCCGGCCCTCGCGGCGTTCCGGACCCTCAGACAGACCGCAGAGCGGGCGGCGGCGTCGGCGGGTCTGGCGGCGGCCGGGTTCGGGTGCGGCCCGGTGCCGTCGGCGCGCCGTCGGGTTTGATCGATAGTGTCGGCACCGTCGCCGGTGGGGGCACGCCACATGGCATGTGATGGCCGCACGTAATACGGGACACGGTGGGGATACCGATGTGGAGTGTGAGGAACGGCAGTGGGTCGGCTTGCGGGAACGGAGGGACGCGGGGACAGGGGAGAGCCGCCCGAGAACAGCCGTGGTGGGACTGGGAAAACGTTTGGCTGGTGTCCCGGTAGAATCAAATAAGATAGGTTCGTCTGGCCAACAGACCAAAGGTGAGACTTGGAAGAAACGTTATCAAACACGGCAGAAATTTCGCGCAACAAGGAGGAAAACTGCCCAGAACGCTAAAAAAAAAAAAATCACAATAAAGCTATACTAAAGAGATGGGAACATCAATAACGAAAGTCCAAAAAGTGTAAGTATGCAATAGCTACGGGGTGCCAAAGCAGGTACCATAGCACCATAACTTAATGTGTCCCATACTCCTAAACTCCCAAACAAGTGGGCGAAAGTCACCCGAAAGGAAGGGGAAAGTACGACCGACTACCACATCACCACGTAGTTTCAGCGCGTCAGGTCAGCCTAACGCTCCCATCACACCTTAGCTTTAGTGCTTCAGTCCGACCATCCAGCATGCCACAGCCCAGTTCCAAAGCTTGTTCTGCCCGCGCACTGACCTAACCTTACCTTACACCGCGTCCCGACCCAGCCCCGCCCTGCCCCAGCGCGACGGCGTCCCACAGGTCACGCTCCCGGCGGGTCGGCGGCGGGCGCCGTCCGGCGTCAGGTACTCACGGCGCACGCAGCGGAAGCGCACGTACAGCACGCCGGGTCGCCAGGCGTTCGGCTGGTGCTCCCGCAGCAGGAACGAGCAGCGCCGCCGGCCCGAGCACCTGCGGCAAGGGTGGCGCACGTCAAGGACTGACCATCGATCTCTGCGGCAAGAGCGGCGCACGTCACCGGCCGACTACCGATCTCTGCGGCAAGAGCGGCGCACGTCACCGGCCGACCACCGATCCTGCGGTGAGCGCTGACCGGACCCCCATCCCCGCGGCACCAGGGGGGGGGGGGGTACACGCCTCGAGCAGGCGCCGGCGGCCGCCGCATGTGAACGGCAGACGCCGCCGGTGCGCCACCATGGTGGTGTGGTCACAGTGCGACCACGACATGATAAGCAATGACAATCAGGAAGAGCCCTGCTTTCAGTCTGGTTTGGTTGGAGCTCTTTCCGCTTCCTCTTTCCGCCGTAACCAGTTCAGAGCCAGGCGATGAAGGGAAAGGTAATTGATGGCGTAATATTTCCGCCATCGGAAGATCTCCGCTGACAGCCCCCCCCCCCCCCCCCGTTCGAATCCCGCCCCCCCCTCCCCCCCCATATTCGGGATATACGCGGGTGCTCCGGCGGGACTTCTACCAGGGCAGCCGTGAGGTCGGCTCACGGCTCACAGCAGCAGCATGCTTCCGGTAGGGCGGTATGGTGCAAAGATTCAGAATAAGAGGCGAAGGAGGAACACGGCACGGATAGAGCCCTGTGATTGACGGACTGCTCGCATGCTTGCTGTTTAGTTTCTCGTCTAAAATTAAAACGAAGTTTTGGCTGGTCCCATCAAGTTTGCACATTGCAGGTCACTTCTTCGAATTGAGGGATGTCAAATATAGCATGCACGCTGACTAAAAGACCTTGATAACTGACACCTTTTACCGGCTGACCTACTCCGACCATTCAAACTGTCGTGCATCGCTCGAGAGCCAGCCACCACCTAGCGGCCGAACGGTAAAACATCATTATAAAGGCTTCGCGCCAGGTCGCCAAAAACAACCGTTCCCACGAGCAATCGTGGAGGACGATGTTGACATGTAGAATGTAACGAGATAGTGCATTGAACACAACACAAGTGCACTCCCTGAGCGTAGCCGAATGTCGGCAGCATCACGTGACACTCCGTATGTGTTCTGCTGTCCCCGTCCGGAATTACTATGAGACAACGCCGGGCGACAGCAGGACGCAAACAGCCTAACATACAAACGTCACGAGCACACCAAGCCTTGAGCGTGCGTGGCCCAGTGTCCCGCGCAGGCGTGGCTTAGTGTCCTGAGCGGGCGCGGCATCGTGTCCAGAGCGGGCGTGGCCTAGTGCCCGGGGCGTGAGTGGCCTAGTGTTCTGAGCGGGCGTGGCCTTGTGTCCTGCGCGGGTGTGGCCTGATGTTCTGCGCAGGCGTGGCCTAGTGTCCTCAGCGGGCGAGGCGTAGTGTCCTCAGTGGAAGTAGTCTAGTGTCCTGGGCATGCGTGGCCTTGTGTCCTAAGCGGGCGCAGCCTGACGTCCTGAGCGTGTGCGGCCTCGTGTCGCGAGCGCAAGCGTGGCCTAATGTCCTGAGCGGGCGTGGCTGTGTCTGCCGAGAGTTTGACGTTCGCTCACCGGGCCGTGGGCGAGGGGCGGGGAAGCAGGCGCTGCGTCACGGCTAGAGAGACCTCCGGCTGCGGCGGCGGCTCTGTCGCCGACTCATATATCGCGCGCGGCCTTGCGTGTCCGCCCGGCCGGCTCGAGTGTCGCGGCTACGTCCGCCGTATCACGGCCGATGTATTACTGTTGCGACCGGTGTATCACTGTCACGGCAGGTGTATCCCTGTTACGGTCGATGTATCACTGTTGCGACCGGTGTACCACTGTTACGACCGGCGTATCACTGTTACGGCCGGTGTATCTCGGTTATGGCCGGTGTACCACTGTTACGGCCGGGGTATCACTGTTACGGCCGGCGTACCACTGCCACGGCCGGTATATCACGGTTATGGCCAGCGTACCACTGTTACGGCCGGTGTACCACTGTTACGGCCGGTGTATCACGGTTACGGCCGGTGTATCACTGTCACGGCCGGTGCATCACGGTTATGGCCGGTGTACCACTGTTACGGCCGGTGTATCACTGTTACGGCCAGTGTATCACTGTCGCTGCCGGTGCATCACTGCTACGGCCGGCGTATCACTGTCGCACTCCCGCACGTCAGCAGCAAGGTCTGTGTCACTCGGGCGGCATCCGGCGCAATGAATTAATTAACGAATGCAATAACGAACAGCTGGGGGATCTAGAGCGGAAATCAACGTGACATTCTGGGCTTTCGTGCTCGGCGACGAGGTATGTAGAGAGAAACTTCATAAATGAACACAGGCACAATGTAAAAAATGCGCCCAGAAGACCAAGAATACCGTTCGATATTGAACTAATTAAGAGTTGGGTAATTTTGTGAGACACACGTGGACCTGGACACAAGCCTCACCGTAGGAAAACAACAGCAATCTGTCGTGTTTAACAAACATGACATCAGGTGTGCGAAGAAAAGCATATCCGTAAATACGGTTCCGTAGATAATGGCATGGACAATGGGGACCTGGCAAGGGCAGAGCCCCTGAATAAGGTCGCGCACCACGGGAATCCAGTGCCGGCCGAGCTCGTGAACTTACTTAACTGTCACCGGCGACTCCTTGAAACACTTATCGTTGGCTTATTTGTCAGTGCCTGCGACTGATAAATAATCAAACAACAGCTGGACCCATAAACATCGCCACCCCTAATGACAGCCAAGGTCAGCTGCAGCTTCCCACGGCAGCGACATCCCTGAGCCGCTCGATGCAGAGTTTGACGCCCACGAGCCCGTTCACCTCCGACCCCAGACTTCAGCGGTGCACACTGGTGTGATTCCTTGCAACACAGAAGGATGACGCTGCTTGCGAAGATCTCCCAGATTGAGCCGTCAGCCGGCTGGCCAGAGCACAGAGCAATTTTACACTTGTCAGCTCAGTGCGGTAACTGGCGCCCAGGGTGTAACCGGCACCAGGCCATCCGCACGTGCGTATGGCCCGCTAACAGAAACGGCCTTGGCATGCGTTGTCGGTACCGAGGGGCTGTGATTGTCAGCGCGCCGGGGCCGGCGCTGTCCGTCACATAAGGCCGTCACCGGCGCTGATGCTACGGGCAAGTACAGGTCAATATTGATACGGCTATGTCCCGAAGAGTTTTTGAGTTCTGACTGAGCGACATACTAACAGCATTGTCTTGACTGGTATGCAGTTGGGTTCAGATACACATCCCATACCGTTCCATCCACGGTCACCTTATTCCCATGCATATACTCTTATCACGCACTGTTATACAACCCACGCAGCCCGCCCCTTTCCAAACAAGATACATACTTCACGGCTTTCTCCGACCGAGGCGCGCAGCCCTGACAACCAAGCAGGCAGTCCTCTCCAATGCAGATGCGTCCACCTCTTCAGGCCAGTCATGGGGCCCGCTCTACGGCGGACGCGCAGCTCTCTCCAGCGCCAGCCGACCACGCCGAAGCCGCCTGAGCCCTACCGATGGTCCCTCGCAGCCGACACAACCATAATCCCCCCCGCGGAGCCCGGGGGCGCCGCCGGCCCGCGCGGTAACGAGCACGCTTCTGCGGGCCTGTGCTGTACGAGGACCCGAGAGGAGCCAGCGGCCATACGACCCGCTGGCCGCGCCCGGGACCACCAGAGGTTGTCACGCGACAGACACCCGGAGGAGCCAGCGACTGTCACGTGACAGACGTCCGGAGTCACCAGCGACTGTCACGTGACAGACGGCCGGAGGAGCCAGCGACTATCATGTGACAGACGGCCGGATGTGCCGGCGTCTGTCACGTGACAGTCGGTCGGAGGAGCCGGCGACTGTCATGTGACAGCGGCCCGGCGCGCGGCACGTTACCGCCGGCACTCCGGGGGTGCCGTTACAGCGGTGGCGGACGGCGGGTCCTCAGGGACCGCCGGTCGTAACAAGTACAGGGACGAACGCGGAACCGGCCCCGCCCGCCATCCCACCACCACCACTGATTAAAACCGCCCCGATCGCAGCGTGCTTACAGCGAGCTGTAAGGACCCCATAGGCGACGCCTGTCCGAGAGGCGGCGTCGGGCTTCGCTGAGCGTAGTGCGCGTGTGTGCGACTCAGTACGGCGCCGGGACAGGGGGCGCGGCGCGCGGCCACACACCGGCCGGCCGGCCGAGTGGCGCGGCTTTGAGTGCCGAGTGCTCTTCTGGCTGAGGTGGGAGCCCTTCAGCCGCTGTTGACCTTTTCAGTCGGCGGCGTAAAGCTGAGTCAGGGGGGCCTCGGGAGGCTCGGTCCGCTGACGAGGATTGCAGGGACCGAGGGACTGGCCGGGCTGGGGAGCTGGTCTGGCCCGGGGCTGCTTCAGGCTGAGGAAGGGGAGCTGGTCTAGGCCGGGGGCTAGTCCAGGCTGAGGAAGGGGAGCTGATCTGGGCTGGGGAGTTGGTCCAGGCTGTTCTAGGCTGGGGAGCTGGTCTAGGCTGTTCTAGGCCGGGGGCTAGCCCAGGCTGAGGAAGGGAGCTGATGGCCTAGGCTGTTCTGGGCTGGGGAGCTGGTCTAGGCTGGGGGAGCTTGTCTAGGCCGGGGAAGAGGAGTTGGTTTAGGCCCGGGGTAATGTTCCTAGGCTGGGGAAGAGGGACTGTTCTAGGCTGGGGAAGAGGAGCTGGTCTAGGCTGGGGGAGCTAGTTTAGACTTGCCACGGTGTTGGGGGCAGAAGGACGCGATCCAGTGTTGAGGACAGCTGTTCCGGGCGGATCTAGGTCCTACGTCCTAGGTCGACTGGGGACACTGTCTCATGGTGACAGCATTGTTCCTGACCTAGATCCGCAGGTGCGAGCATGCGCGTGCTGTTCCGATGGCGCCCCCCCCCCCCCCCCCCCCCGGTCGCCTCGTGACGCTGGGCAGTGACCCATCTGGCGCTACGCGCGTGTTTAAGGCGCGTCGAAGATCCCCAAACACCATCAACCGTGGCAAAGTTTCCAGCCGAACGTCGCGAACCGCAAAACTCTGGGCTGGCAGCCAGACTCAGCCTCACAACATTCGGCGGGG